CAGCTGAGCCACCCAGGCGCCCCTCGATGTTCTTTCAATTTCCTACTCATCCTTCAGGGCGCTGGAACGCTGTCACCCCTTCCTCTCTAAAGTTGGCCCCTCACCCCTTTGTGTCCCGATCTAGCCCTGTCACAGCACGGAGCTCAGCTGTGAGAACAAGGCCTGGGTGGGGAAGAAGTGCAGACTCTAGAGGTGGACACGCAGCCCGAGACATCCACTCTGGGAACCTCAGTTTCCTCAGGGAGTAAGATGTCCCACACAACGCAGATGTGCATCCACAGATGAATGGACAGACTGTGGCGTAGCCACCCCGTGGGACAGGATTCAGCAAGGCAAAGCAATGAAGCACTGCTTCGTGCTACAACACAGGAAAATCTTGAAAACATCATGCTAAGTGAAGCAGCCGGTCACAGAATCATATATGATTCCATTTATATGAAGTGTCCAGAAGAGGTAAATGTAAAGAGACAGAAAGTGGACTAGTAGTTGCCTAGGGCTGGGGGGAGGGGAAAAGGGAGCGATCACAAAGCGGGCAGGGTTTCTGTTAGAGGTGATGAAAACGTTCTCACATTGGCTGTAATGACGGCTGCCAACATTATTTTATTTTTTTTTTTAAAGATTTTATTTATTGGGCGCCTGGGTGGCTCAGTTGGTTCAGCCACTGCCTTCGGCTCAGGTCATGATCCCGGAGTCCCGGGATCGAGTCCCACATCGGGCTCCCTGCTCCGTGGGGAGTCTGCTTCCCCCTCTGACCCTCCCCCCTCTCATGGTCTCTCTCTCTCTCTCTCTCATTCTCTCTCTCAAATAAATAAATAAAATCTTTAAAAAAAAAAAGATTTTATTTATTTATTTATTTGAGAGAGAGAGAGAATGAGAGATAGAAAGCACAGGAGGGAAGAGGGTCAGAGGGAGAAGCAGACCTCCTGCTGAGCAGGAAGCCGGATGTGGGACTCGATCCCAGGACTCCAGGATCATGACCTGAGCCAAAGGCAGTCGCTTAACCAACTGAGCCACCCAGGGGCCCCAACATTATTTTAAAAAAACTATTGAATCGGACACTTTAAATGGGCCAAGTATATGATATGTGAATTGTATCTCAATGAAGATGTCATTTTATTTATTTATTTATTTGAGAGAGAGCGAGAGAGAGAGCACGCACAAGCAGGTGGGGAGGGGCAGAGGGAGAGGGAGAAGCAGACGAGTCCCGCTGAGCAGGGAGCCCGATGAGGGACTCGATCCCAGGACCCCAGGACGATGACCCAAGCCAAAGGCAGACACTTAACCAACTGAGCTACCCAGGCGCCCCAAGATGTCTTTTTTAAAAAGCTGGACTAACACCCTGCTTTTCAGGGCTGCCGTGGGGGTAGGAGACGCTGTGCCTGCCTCACAGCAGGTGCCCCTCCATATTGGAAGGAGAGACTCTGTGGCACTTTGAACGTCCAAGGCAGGTCCCACCTCCCCTGCCTCCCAGCTCTGGGCTCCCCCTACCAGGGGCCTCTCCACACCTGTGCCCGACTGCACAAGGGGTCTGCAGGTTGTGGGTTGTGTACATCCGCATCCGAGGATGCATGTGGGGAGCAAGGCCCTCCCTGGGGTTGGGCTGGGTCCGGAGGTGCAGTTCAGCGTTCCTCCAAGCTCAGTATCACACCGAGCTCCGAAGGAATGAATGCAGGGCTCCGGAGAAGGCCGGTGAGGCCGCTAGCCCCAGCTCTGCCATCCACCTGTCTTGTGACCTTGGGCAGGTATATGTCCCTCAAGCTCCCCTGAGCCCCCGGAACAGGAATTGCTGCCACCTGCGGGGCTCCCCAGCCCAGGGCTCTGCAGGCCCCGCCTCTCAGAGTCCTCTCAGTCACCCCTGAGGCTCATACAGTTATCATCTCTGTTTTCTATAGATGTGGGAACGGAAGCCTAGACTGTAAGAATCTTGCCCAGGATACAGCCCTCAACACAGGCCCTCTGTTCTGTCCGCACCACGACTGACGCCAGGACTAAAGGGCCGAAGCCCATGGGCCAGGCCCTCAGGTACGTCTGGCTGATGGAGGCTCCGGCCAGGCACTGCCCTAATGGGTCAGCCCCGAGAGGCTTGCCTCTCCTGTTCTCCACATGGGGAAACACGCAGGGTCTGAACCAAAGCCCGAGCGCCACTCGAGCCCCAGTCCCTAAACACCACGTGGTCCCACCTCCCTGGAGAGGGCTGCGGGCCCTCCTGCTCTGGCCACCTGCGCTGAGGGTGCTCACCCATGCACGCAGCCAGAATGTTCTGCCTGGTGGGCGGAGCTTGCAGCAGGAAGCAGGGGGGAGGAGAGGAGGCAGTTCTGGCCTCAGTAGGCCAGAGGCCAAAGTCATGGCACTGCCACAGCACGACTCAGGACAGCCCTGGCTCTGGGAGCCCTGACCCTCTTCCCATACGGAGCCGAGGCCTCACTGGGGTGGGGGGCGATGGAGGGTGCGGGCAGCCTTGGGCTCCGCTGGAAGGGGGCTTAAGGCAGAGGACTGTGGGGACACCTGGGTGGCTCAGTCGGTTACACATCTGCATTTGGCTCAGGTCATGATCCCAGGGTCCCGGGATCGAGTCCCGTATCGGGCTCCCTGCTCAGCGGGGAGTCTATTTCTCCCTCCGCCTGTCCCCCCGCTTGTGTTCTCACTCTCTCTCTCTGACAAATAAATAAATAAAAATCTTAAAAAAAAAAAAAAAAGGAAGAAACTTAAAAATAAAAAGGCAGAGGACCACGGGGGAGCATAGACAGGCAGGACACCAGGGCAAGAGCCCCAAGTCTGGCCAGGAGCCCAGGCAGGGCCCCCAGCCCCCAGCCAGCTCCCCACCTTTCAGCCTCCTTGGCGATGCCGGTCCCCGGGAAGCATCCCTGCCTCACACCCTGTGGCTCCCTAAACATGCCCTGTCCCAGCACCTCCTGCACTGGGCTCCCTTGGCTGAGGGTGACAGGTGTGCTGCAGGACCCCGGAGCAGATGTCTCCTCCCCAGTGAGCAGGGTCTGCGTGAGGATGACGGCTCACAGTCACGGCACCGGGGCCTCCGGTCAGGCACCAGCCCAGCGCTTTGTTCAATAAATGATTTCCTCCCCACGAGGCCCCTGGGAAGGAAGGACCCCTCACTCCTCTTTCTGCAGAGGAAGAGCCTGAGTCTCAGGGAGGTACAGCGATGCGCCTGCGGGCGAGAGCGGGCAACCAGGATTGGAGCAGAGGTCTGTGAAAACTGCCAGGGCCGCAGCTAGACAGACAGACAGACAGACAGACAGAGAGGCTCCAGGCCGATGGAGAGAACATCACTCCAGCTCCCGGAGGGGAGGCAAGCCCATGGCCTTGAGAGGCTGTGTGCTGAGCCTGTTCGCGGGGCTGCCAAGAGGGATGATGCCCCTGGAACGGCCGGTCATGGCAGCCTCGTGGGACACACTGCCCCCAACCCAGCCACCATCAGAGCCGAGGGTGCCTGGGTGCTCCGAGCCCCCTGCCTCCCTTCCACTGGCACCCCTCTCCCGCCCCTCACCCCCCTCCACAGCCCGGCCCCCTGAAGCT